AGGCATACGTAACACGTGGCCCAACCATCTCAGTCGATGAAGATTCATAACCTCATCAACTGATTTACCATCATTCCCTAGTACCCTGCGTCTAATCTCACTATTACTTACCCGGTGATCCCAGCAGATACCCGCAATATTTCTAAGGCACCTGTGGTCAAATACTAGTAACTTACGAGTATCTTCCACTCTTAAAGGCCATGTTTCGCAGCCGTATAGAAGGACGGAACGAACTGCCGCGCAGTATACTCGTCCCTTAATTGATAGACGGATATCTCGCCTTCGCCATAGATGACGTAAGTTGGCAAAGGCCAAGCGAGCTTTTCGAATCCGTGCTGAGATTTCGTCAGACACCAACCCATTAGGGCTGATCAGACTTCCAAGATAAGTGAAGTTGTCAACGCGTTCGACTACTTCACCCCCTATCCTTAGTTCAGGTGTTGACGCAGACCAGTCCTGAAGCAAGAACTTGCATTTGGAGGGAGAGAAGCGCATCCCAAACATTCTAGCATTGTTGCTCAGTGCTACCAAAAGACTCTGCATTTCATCAGCGTCTTCACCAAACAGGACTATGTCATCTGCATATTCTAAGTCAATAAGTGGACCTCCTGGTAGGAGATCAATACCCGAGAATTCAGTCGATGAGAGCGTTATTTCCATCAGGATGTCTATGATAAAGTTAAACAAAAAAGGAGAAAGTGGACAGCCTTGACGGACGCCACTTGAGGTTGCAAAAGCAGATGACAGTTCGCCATAGGCTCTGACCCGGCTAGTAGTGTTCGAGTAAAGAGCCTCCACAAGGTTTATGTACTTCTGAGGTACGCCTTTCAATGACAGACACTGCCACAGAACCTCTCGGTCAACAGAGTCAAACGCTGCTTTTAAGTCAAGTAATACCACCATTGTCGGACGCCGATAAGTATGCCTGTGTTCTAGAACCTGACGAATGGTGAATATGTGGTCGATGCAGCCACGACCAGGTCTGAAGCCAGCCTGATTTTCACGTGTTTGCAGTTCACGAGTCTTAGTTAGGCGTCCGAAAATTATCGAAGCTAGTATTTTAGATACTATATTAGTCAAACTAATCCCTCTGTGGTTGTCACAGGATGTTTTTGACCCTTTCTTAAATATTGGGACGATAAGTGATTGTGACCAGTTAGATGGAATAACGTCTAACTCCCAGATTTTAGCTAAAATATTAGTCAACCTAATCGCTAAGACTAGACCACCATCCTTAAAGACCTCTGGGGCCAATCCGTCTGGACCAGCTGCCCTTCCTCGTTTCAGATTAGCTATAGCCTTTTGAACTTCAGCTAGAGTTGGAGGACCTACTTCAATGTTCCATTCACACTGTCTGGGAATAGAGGGTAGTTGTAAAGTAGCTGAAGGCCAACTGAGCTGCTCCTTAAAATGTTCCGCCCATCGTTCTAAACGTCTGGACTGGGAGCAGATGAGAGTGTCGTCTTTTTCCGAAATAGTCTGACTTACACTTGATTTATTAATTCCAGTTTCTTTTATTAGTCTGTAGAGTTGTCTTGTGTTCCATATAGCCGCCGCCTTTTCCATCTCTTTTGCTTTCGTTGCCCACCACTGCTCACGATCGTTCCTTAGACTTTTGCTTAACCTAGATCTGATTTCTTTACGCTCTTCATCGTGTTCAGAACCTGATGGGATGAGTTTACGAGAATCTATCAGTGCAATAGACCTTGAAGAAATCCACTGGTTCTTTGTAACCCTGTGGTTTAAATCACTAGTAGATGTCACTGCTGTTTCCACAGCTGCTTGTATGTCTTTCCAATCAACATCTGGGTCAGCCTCGTTTTCAGAACTACCTAAGTGTGACCTCAGTTGTTCCTGGAACCTACTTTTGGCTTTCTCATTACTCAATTCGGTTCTCATGAGTTTTTTGTGTGGCTTTTTTGCGTCCAGTGAGGCGCAAGCAGATGCGTGCTCGTACTAGGGCATGGTCGGAGTCCAAGCAGGTACTCCAGAATGAGCGACAATCTTCTATCGACCCTCTCCAACGATGACTGATGGCAATATGGTCTATTTGAGTCCATCGTTGGTTTGGTGCAGGGGGTCGCCATGTTAGACGATGTCTCTCCTTATGCTTAAAATTTGTGTTTGCTAAAAATAAACGATTGTCTGAGCACAGTTGCAACAGACGATCACCATTATCTGTTCGCTGTGCCGGAATACTAAAATACCCACCTAAATGTCTTTCTGTTTTGTTTAAGCTACCTACCTGGGCATTAAAGTTACCTCCTACGAGTACTATGTCTGAACGTTTGGCTTTCTGAAGAAGTTCAGACAGCTTTCTGTAAAATTCATCTTTCACTTCATCCGAACTGCAGTCAGTGGGAGCGTAGGCAGGAACGACGAAAAGGCAACGACGTGTGTCCCTATCCTTTCGAGTTCTTACGGAGCCGTTTAGCCGAACAGCGCATAGACGACTATTAACGGGGATCCACTCTAATAGCGCTTGTTCCGCCCTCATGCTTAGTGCTATGCCTACACCTGCCAGTCCACGAGAACTAGCCATCGGGTCGCCAGATACACGGAGGGTGTATCTCGTTGGCTCTCCGTTTTGCTGAGGTGAGGTCAAGTGAATGACCACACTAGGATCCTGTATGCGTGTTTCGGAGACACAGCATACATCAATGGTACGAGATTCTAAGGTTTTAGCCAAGGAAGCCTGCTGACCGATTTGGCATAGTGTGCGTACGTTGAAGGCTCCAATGTATAGTTTGGAGCGAGGTTTCAGTAGACCTGGGACAGTGTTTTGAGCACTAGAATCGTTGGCTGTGGTGACAGTTGAGGAGGAAGCTAAAAGAGCAAGTTTAGTGTATAAAGTCGATGTAGGAGGAATAATAGGAATTGAAGAGGGAGGTTGACTATGAATACAATGGTCTTGAGTGCTGTTAGAGGTATGAGGGCGGTTATCACTTCCCGGTTGCCCACACCGTGGAAGGGTTTTGCTGGAGGTACCTGAAAAGGAAATTGGATTAGAGGTGGTCATAGTGACTTGAGAGCGTGACCGCAGTGCCTAAGGGACAGCTGCTTGAGGTCGGTCACACACGACATTTTTATGAGTAATTTTTGTGTTAGCTCCGTACTTGTTGAGTCCTTACCGCCGGAGACGGATATCCGTGGGATAAGGCGAGGTGTGCATTTTTAGGGTTGACCTTTTCTAACCCCTCCCCTCCTTTTGGGAAGGCAGCATCGCTGTCATGCTGGTTGTCTGAAGGAAACACCTTACTGCTGTCACACCTCTGTACAGTCAGCAGTACGACTTCGCCTTCGGACCTTGGTTTTGTTGCTTTTAGTCTTACCGCTCTTCAACCGACCTGTCTGGCATGGTAGGACCTTGAGGAACGGTTGTTCCAGCCAGTATAGCTCAGTTGCTTCATCACGATAGGCAAGCCCGACCACCACGTCAAGGTAGCAACAACGGTCAGGGTTGATCATGGTTATAACATAAAAAGCTTTGGCTTCACGAACTTTCGGGTTTAGCATCAGTTGATTATCGATACTTCCAGGTAAAGACCTAGTTTTGTGAAAAGAAGCATAATTACTCAGCAAATCGGTGTCAGTCAGTTACGCAATGCAGAAGGTAAACATTAAATCTGCTTGAATATTATACCAACCTACCTTGGCCCCCAAATGCCCTGGTACGGCCGAGAGTGGGAAGAGTCCGCTCTCCCTCTCGAAATGCTCTCACATGGCCATGCGTATATAGCCTCTGCCAGGGAAGTCCTACTCACTGCCTTCTCGTGGCGGTGGTGTTGTTTACAAAAATGAGAGGACGAAAAGCGAATGTCTGGCGCTTTAACCGGACCCCAAACCAATGGTGCACATGGGCTCCAGTATCCTGCCTGTGGGAACAAATGGCGTATGAACCAACTTTTGGTCACCGGCTACCATGGGACTGCATCTCCTTACGATGCTCCACTGCCTTGTGGATCAGACGTTCAGGTCAAAGGCTCGGGGTGTGTCCCCCTAAGAAAACCACCTGCTTCGGTTTGGGCACCCGGGCAGTATCACAGCCCTCACACAAATCAATTGAGATTTGTGTGGCGCATATGTATTTGGTGCCTCCCTGTACCTATACTTATGTGTTAAAATAAATAAAATAAATAACCAACCTACCTTGAGGTGAACACAACTTTGATGATTAACTATTTTAGTTATTCCTGTAATACAGTTTTGACTTTCTCGTCGTTAGGCTGAACTATAGGGAATATTTCTGCTGTTCCTCTACTTTGTCCACTGTAACTCAAATAAATTCACTCTCACAAAGTATGACCGGAGCCTGCGCACATGCTCCAGAATGAATGCCAGTCTTCCGTTGAGCTTCTGTAGCAATTCCCGATGGTTATATGGTCTATTCGGGTTCGTCATGGAGTCTATTTTGTGGGAGGTTATGTCAGACTATGTGGAACCTCACATCAAATCTTTTAGGAAGTATGAAGCTTTCGCTTCAAAGATTCCGACAAAGTTTCTTGGGTGAGGCAGTAAGTTCTAAAACGACTAATTCTAGGGTGAGATAGATACATCCCAACCCGGTATGTTAGAAATCCAGCTCACGGGTCTTCCCTCCATGGTTAATGTTAGCAATCAATTTCAGTGTTGCACATGATGTCTGGGAGTGTTTATGGTATAGGAGTCATGAGATTTCCCCTAAGTTGTTTACATTCTAGGGGATATATATCTAGTGTTTTCATACATTCGTTGTAAGATTTTAAACTTAGGGTCGTAAGCTGATCTTGTGGCTCAATTTTGTATGCCCTCCCAAGTATTTATATCACTTCGAAACGGAGGAAACACTTTTATTACGTTGCGTGGAGCTGATGAAACCTAAAAATCAAATGGGAACTTTCACTATTAAATTATGGTCGACAGGTTTCGTTTCACACTCAGAGATGAGCATTATTATATTGACTGTTTTCAGGCTATGGTAAAGATTTAGTATTATTTAAAGAATTTTCTTTTCATTTTAGTCGGTTGGATTAAAAACCAAACTTCCTACAGGCAACTCAGTGAATGTTGTTCCTGAACTGGTGAGAATCGCTATTCGTCTTGATAATACGCAAAAACAAATATATCGTCCTTCTCATGTAGCATGTGGTCGAGCACATACTATTATATCCTATGAAAATTTGAAAGAGTCGAATAGTGATACACCTCCTCTTGTTTTCAGCCTGGGTAACAATGTTTTTGGGCAGTGTGGAAGAGAAATAATTCCTGGCGAAAAGTACGATCGTGATATGGAAGTTATAACAAAAATAGTCTTGCCACCAGAAATAAAATCTATCAAACAAGTATGTTGAGGGATTTATAAGTTAGTTTTCACTTTGAATTTGGGTGTAATTATTCGATCATATTTGATTAACCTTAGTCTTCATTTATCTCTGTTCATAGTTTCGGCTTTGTAGTTAGTCTTAATAGTTTTTACAGTAATCAGTTTTCGTCTGTCATAATGCTTATTTTTACTGTTCGCTTACTGAATCAGTCGTTCTATATATCCTATTTCACTCTTTAGTTTGCATTTAATTAATGCCGTCAACCAAAACTTGTATAAAGATGATAATTCAGTATAGCTCGTCAGATTTTTTTGGCACTAAATTACTTATGCGTAGGAGCGTAGGCCGCCAACCAGCATTCCCCAACCCACTCTGTCCTGGGCCTTCCTTTCCAGTTCTATCCAATTTTTGTTTTTTTTTCTCATATCTGTTTCCATTTCTCGGCGTAATTTATTCTTTAGTCTTCCTCTTTTCCCTTGGCCTTGAGGATTCCATGTGAGGGCTTGCCTTGTGAGGCAGTTGGGTGCTTTCCTCAAGGTGTGTCCTAAATAAACTTGTTTAGAACGATACTTTGGTTGAGTCTCCAAGATGTTTATAAAACAAAATTCCATGTCAAATGAATAGTAGAGAGGTTTACGGGTAAACGACTACTTCATAATTGTAGATTTTTATGCTAACATTTCATATGAAGTACATATTAGACTTTGGTCTTTTAGTTAACTATCAAACAGTTGCATTCACGATAAATAGAAACTATCAAACAATGTTTTTCCTATGGTGGAGAAGATTTGTAGCTCAGGTGGATGATTTTGGTGGAGTTTTGTTCCCTGAGCTGAGTGGTTTGGTTGTGGAGGTTTCATCGTTATTCTGAACGACATCATCAAGATCGAGGTCTATAGGACAAGCTGTAAACTATATATGGAGAAATTCGAACACTTCTATTCTACCTGAAGTTTGCGTTGATGATGTCGTTCAGAATAACGATGAAAGCCCAACGACCAAACCATCCAGCTCAGGGAACAAAACTCCACCAAAATGTTTTCCTTACCATATTTTCATGATGATCACTGTCTACCTTGCAATTAATCTAGCATCGGAAAATTATTTACTAAAGTATTCATATTTTACTTTGCTGTTTTTCATAGTTAGTTTGTGGTCAAGACCATACCTTGTTACTCAGCTCAGATGGTGTTGTTTATTCCTGTGGACTTGGATCAGATGGTCAGACTGGTTTAGGTCATTATAATGTGGTTGATCGATTTACTGCTGTAAAAGGTTCATTGGTGAATGAACGTGTTTGGTAAGCTCTTAAAACTTTGCTCAGTTTAACCCGGTGTTTATGTTTAAAATCCATAAATTTTAGGGATTATAGAGCACTTTATATCGTACTTGTTCATAGACTGAACAAAATATTTCTCATCAATTCATTGTCTATACGTTATTTTCTATCCCACATGACATCACAGGTATGTAAGCAAGGGTGTGTGTACAGTTTACTGACCATAATCAAGAGGAACGGGATTTCTTCGTGCTAACCGAATCAAAATCTATTATAAGTCTTTTACATCCGGCACAATGACATACTTGAACTCCACGTTCAGTAATACCTTGAAATAGGCATCTGTCAACCTGTATAATGAACAGTAATTGTTTATATCTCGAGGTTGTTTAAACGGTACATAAATATTATGAGCATTAAGAATGTGATTGACTTCTCGAGAACTTGAAAACATTTGCAAAGACCTATCTGTCGTTTCAAAAGGCTTGTATTACGTGCGTTTATCCGGGGACCCTGTGGCTTCTTCGTCTGGCCTTGCTGGCGTCGGTGTCGCACTAATGCAGCACTAATCGATTAGACCCCCATTAACAGTCTGTTATGTGCTGTTAGATTAGAAGGTTCCATCAAAGTGAGAAGAAATCGACGTGAGAGACGATGTCTTTTCGTCATCTCCGCCTATGCGCCGACAGATTGCAGCCCGGATGCAATCAAGGATGATTTCTACCACCAGTTAACTGTTCTCCAGAAAGTGCGTACGACAGATATTGTAGTACTAGCCGGAGACTTGGATGCTCAGGTCGGTCGTCTTGACATAGAAGAGAGTCGTTTAGGTGACCGATGGGACTTGTTGGTCGCAAGACAGATAATGGGGACCGTCTACTGCAACTATGCACAGACCACAACCTGTTTCTGGCTAGCACTAACTTCCGACATAGTCATCGCCGATGTGCCACCTGGCGTCCTCCCTCTGCATCTCAAGTCTGGACTCAGATTGATCACATCGCGATCAGCTACCGCTGGCGTGGTTGTGTACAAGACTGCCGCTTCTTTTAGAGTACCTATCTGAACTCTGATCATGCCCTGGTCTGCGCCAATCTTACCTTACTTTTCATTGGCCAACGAATTGATCTTCATAAACAGATTGATGTCAGTAAATTGGTTGCGACTTCTGTTGCTAGTATGTATCGAACCGAGCTAGCTTCTAGGCTAGCTACCATCGCACAGAAAAGTATAGATGAGCATTGATTGCAACTGCGTGACGCCATGAAAATGGCGAGTAGAGCCACTTGCGGCTTCGCGGAACGTCCCGCTTATAAGCACTGGGTTTCTTCCGGTTCCCTATAACTCATTGAAACCCGTCGGTCTACTCTGGATGACCGTGAGTTTGACCACAAACAAAGGCTGTTACGTAATGAAATTGAACAAAGCTTGCGTAAGGACCGAGAAGCCTGGTGGTCGGAGCGTGCTAATGAGCTGGAAGCAGCATCTGTATCTGGAAGCTCTTTCAACTCATCCGAGCCACTGACAACAAGAAGTCTGGTGTGAGCGAAACAATCTGCGAGAATGACGGGATGCCAATCTCATCCATCGACGTCTAGGTAGCTACATAAGTGCTGGTTGTGGTGTGGGTGATGAGATCAATGCACGTATAGTGAAAGCCAGAGCGGCTTATTCCAATCTGAGCCATCTTTGGCGCCTTCGTGATGTCGGTCTGACTGTAAGAGGTCGGATCTACAACGCGTCGGTGAGAGCAGTTTTGCTCTATGCTTGTGAAACCTGGCCTCTCCGAGCTGAGGATGTTAGACGACTTTCTGTGTTCGATCATCGCTGTCTCCGAAGGATTGCTGACATCCAGTGGCAACACCATGATAGTAATGCAGAGGTTCGGCATAGAGTGTTCGGTCACAGAGACGATAATGCAATTGGTGTCACCATCTTGAAACGCCGACTTCGGTGGCTTGGACATGTTCTACGAATGTCGTCCCAGAGAATTCCACGTCGTGCATTATTTGCCGACTCTGGGACTGGTTGGAAAAAGCGGAGAGGTGGTCAGTATATGACATGGTGTCGTGGTATGAAAGAAAGCTGCAAAGGGCTAGCTTGTGTTGGTCCTTCACGACTCCCTGGCTGGGGTCCTAGAGATGGTGTAACACAGTGGCTGGAGACGTTATCAGATATGGCCCCCAAATGCCCTGGTACGGCCGAGAGTGGGGAGAGTCCGCTCTCCCTCTCGAAATACTCTCACACGGCCACGCGTATATAGCCTCTGCCAGGGAAGTCCTACTCACTGCCTTCTCGTGGCGGGGGTGTTGTTTACGAAAATGAGAGGACGAAAAGCGAATGTCCGGCGCTTTAACCGGACCCCAAACCAATGGTGCACATGGGCTCCAGTATCCTGCCTGTGGGAACAAATGGCGTATGAACCAACTTTTGGTCACCGGCTACCATGGGACTGCATCTCCTTACGATGCTCCACTGCCTTGTGGATCAGACGTTCAGGTCAAAGGCTCGGGGTGTGTCCTCCTAAGAAAACCACCTGCTTCGGTTTGGGCACCCGGGCAGTATCACAGCCCTCACACAAATCAATTGAGATTTGTGTGGCGCATATGTATTTGGTGCCTCCCTGTACCTATACTTATGTGTTAAAATAATAATAATATAATGGCTCTGAATAGAAGCCAATGACGATCCTGTTATAACCTTTTACTTTCTTCATATAAAGTGGTTGTAGTTTCCTTAACTGAAACAATTCTTTTGGTTGTATTTTTCCATTTCCCCCCATTATTATTATTATTGTTATTATTACACTATCATACACTAATCTGTGGTCGTTATTGTTCTCTTTTTTTTATACCCACCTTACATTCTTTTTCTCTTCCCATTTTTATTGTTTTGTGTGGCGCATATATATCTGATACCGCCTTGTACCAATATTTATTTGTTCAAATAAATTTATTTTATTTATTTATTTTAACACATAAGTATGGGTACAGGGAGGCACCAAATACATATGCGCCACACAAATCTCAATTGATTTGTGTGAGGGCTGTGATACTGCCCGGGTGCCCAAACCAAATAAATAAATAAATAAAATTCAGCTTTCAACCAAGTGGTTGTAAGTTCAAATTCTGTTTCATCTACTTCGGTTCGGGCGGATGGATAATGTCATTAGTCCTCATGCATACATTTTGATTCAGAACGTTATGCGAAAGCTCGTACCATAATTATGAACAAATCATTTTATAGAAAAACAGCTTTAGATGAAATCATGAAAGACCTTAAAAACTATAATCTCATGTTTACTGAATAAATTTAAGCTCATTACTGTGATTTGTTTTGTAGTACAAGCTAGCTACTAGTCTGGTGATTTATTGGGGCCTTTTTTATGTGTGGTAGTGAGAGTAAAACGCAATTGGCCACTGAGTATGGACAAACATGCACCCAACTTAATGATTCAAATATGTATTTTCCTTTCCTCTTATTGATTTCTGATCTGAACTCACTGAGATTGACTACTTGGAACGGTGTGGAGTAAATTATTATCTCTCGTTATTCTAGTTCTCTATTTTTGGTTGTGAGTTGTGTATCTGATATAACGTGATATATTCTCTGTATTGTTTACCGTTCAAATATCAATCTAGTATAACGTAGTATACTGCAGAGGGAAAAATATTTTAAACCGTCCTTCATATCATTTTTTAAACATTGACATCAGATAAGTGGTTATACTGTTTTGCTTTACTATAAGTTATAAGGATCTTTATGGATCTAATTCTATTCTTATTGAAATCTCTCGAATTTATTGAGCTTTAAATTTTCTAATTATGCATATTTGACTCCTAATTATTTTATTGTTATTTCAGTTCTATTTCATTTGCTGGTATCTCTTACATTCTAGTTAATCCCGTCCGAAATTCTGTGATTGATATTACTGATAATTGTAGAAAATTGTATAACGTTGTTTAACAGTTAACATTTCTGATATTTTTATGCCGAGTTAACAATAACAAGTGTTTTGAATTGTCCTTTTTTTCTTTTTTTTTAAAAAAAAACATAAGTTTGATATCGTCTCGTGGTGATACTGTTCTTGCTCTTACTGAATCAAATAAATTATTTGCTTGGGGTAATAATGAATATGGTCAAATATGGCCATTAGATCAAGATGTACAAGTTTCAGAACCTGTTCACTTAAATTTAGATCATTGTATTGTACCAGTAGAATCTCATTTATCTTCAGATAATGTTCATGTAGGTGAAATACAATCAATTGCTTGTGCCGGTTCTATGTGTTGTATTGTTAATAAAATTGGACAGGTAAATTTAATTATTTTATAAGTTAATTAAAAATTGTATTTAAATTTAATTTAGTTTTTCATTTCAAATTATATTGCTATCATTAATTGTAGAATATTTGATCATTTTAATATAAGATAATTAATAAGGAAATAATCTAGAAAATAAAGCTTATTATATTCTTCTACAACTTAGTATTCCTTGACCACTATACTTCTCCGAACTTTTTTGAATCAGAACAAGGATTGAGAAGAGATAATAGTTTATTCCAATAAACTTAAAGAGATCCACTTTTAGAAACATTCAAGTTTTCATAGAAATTTTCTAGCCTATCCTCAATTCGTTCAGTAGCAATAATTAGTTGTCAAAGCCAATTAATAAGTTTGTTCCATTTTGATTTTAACTTAAGTGCTGACTGACTAAGTATAGAATAGTCAGAGCTGTACCTTACTAACAGAGCTGTCTTCAAACTAATATATATATATATATATATATATATATATACTCGGGATATTACGAGTGTATCATTAGTTCTATTGTTGTTGAACTGGATGGTTATCATTGTTCATTAATATAATGACTAGATCTGATGGTTTCTGATACACAGCTCCATTGAAAACCCCAACATGATAAATGTCGAATATGATGTACCTACAACCTCAGTGTAAGTGATGGTTGCCATTGGAAAGTGCCACCTGTTTGTAATACAAGGGGACTGACCAGTTAGTGTTGAACAATGGTTTAGTTGTTATAAAGCGCCTACCTTTTAAGTAATAAGTCGCCGGTTATAGCCCTTCACTTTTTTTAAGTAACCAGGTAGTTTCATTAGTTGTCATGCTGTGTGTTTCGTAAACAACTAACTTACATTAGAATCAACCCAGTAGCTTGATAGATTTTCAGTGAAATTCTGAGTTAATGGTAAATTAATTTAGTACTTTTATTGCAGTGTTAAAATATCAACATTTTACCATGCATATGTACTTATCTTCTTATCACCGATAAAAACTTACTTACTTACGCCTGTTACTCCTCGTGAAGGAGCATAGGCCGCTCACCAGCATTCTCCATCCAACCCTGTCCTGGGAAATCCTTTCAAGCTCTTTCCAGTTCTTATTCATCTTTTTCATATCTGCTTCTATTTCCCGACGTAATGTGTTCTTTGGCCTTCCTCTTTTCCGCTTCCCTTCAGGATTCCAACTTAGCGCCTGTCTCGTAATGCAGTTTGATGATTTCCTCAATGTATGACCTATCCATTTCCATCGTCTTTTCCTAATTTCCTCTTCAGCTGGAAGCTGGTTGGATCTCTCCCACAAAAGGCTGTTGCTGATGGTATCCGGCCAATGGATGTTGAGTATCATGCGTAGACAGCTATTAATAAATACCTGTACCTTCTTGATGGTGGTTGTTGTAGTTCTCCAAGTTTCAGCTCCGTACAGTAGAACTGCCTTGACGTTGGTATTGAAGATTGTGACTTTGATATTGGTTGAAAGTTGTTTTGAGTTCCATATGTTCTTCAGTTGAAGGAATGCCTCTCTAGCTTTGCCAATCCTCGCCTTGACGTCTGCATCTGAACCTCCTTGTTTATTGACGATGCTTCCCAGGTATGTGAAGGATACCACGTCTTCCAGAGTTTCACCATCAAGAGTGATTGGATTGCTGTTCTCCGTGTTGTGTTTGAGGACCTTGGTTTTCCCTTTGTGTATGTTGAGGCCTACTGATGCAGAGACTGCTGCTATGCTGGCTGTCTTTATCTGCATTTGTTCGTGTGTATGTGATAGGAGGGCTAGGTCATCTGCGAAGTCCAAGTCGTCTAATTGGTTCTGAGCTGTCCATCGTATGCCGTAGTTTCCCTCAGATGTCGAGGTCTTCATAATCCAGTCGACCACCAGAAGAAACAGGAAGGGAGAGAGAAGACAGCCTTGTCTTACTCCGGTCCTTACTTGGAATGCGTCTTTCAGCTGTCCTCCATGCACTACTTTGCACTGTAGTCCATCGTATGAGTTCCGGATAATGTTGACAATCTTCTCAGGAACTCCGTAGTGTCGAAGAAGTTTCCATAACGTCCTCCTATCTACACTGTCAAATGCATTCTCATAATCAATGAAGTTGATGTAGAGTGACGAGTTCCACTCAATTGATTGTTCGACGATGATCCGTAGTGTCGCAATCTGGTCTGTGCACGACCGGTCCTTACGGAATCCAGCTTGTTGATCTCGAAGTTGAGCGTCTATTGTGTCTTTCATCTTGTTCAGTAACACTCTGTTAAAGACTTTACCCGGTATTGACAGTAGTGTAATGCCTCTGTAATTTTCGTACTTGCTCAGGTCTCCTTTTTTGGAATCTCATTGAGGTGTCCTTCCTTCCAGTCCATCGGCACTTGTTCCTCTTTCCAAATCTTCTTGAATAGAAGATGAAGCATGTTTGCAGTTACTTCGATGTCTGACTTCAGTGCTTCAGCTGGTATATTGTCAGGTCCTGCTGCTTTCTCGCTCTTGATTTGTTTGACGGCCATTCTGATTTCTTCTGTCGTTGGTGGATTGACATTTATGGGAAGATCTGTGTGTGCTGCTTCGATGTCCGGTGGATTCATTGGAGCCGGCCTGTTCAGGAGTTCCTCGAAGTACTCTGCCCATCTGTTGCGCTGTTGTTGAATCTCAGTGATTGGTCTTCCTTCTTTGTCTTTGACTGGTCTCTCTGGTTTACTGTATTTCCCTGCTAGCTTCTTCGTTGTATCATAAAGCTGTTTCATATTTCCTTCTCTTACAGCTTTTTCCGCCGTCGTTGCTAGTTCTTCCACGTATTTCTGCTTGTCGGCTCTAATGCTCTTCTTTACTTGCTTGTTTGCTTCTGTATATTCAGCTTGTGCTTGGACTTTCTCTGCTCGTGTTCGACTATTGTTAATTGCTGTCTTCTTGTTCTTCCTTTCTTTGATCCTGTCCAGTGTTTCTGTAGAGATCCATTCCTTGTGATGATGCTTCTTGGGGCCCAGAACCTTTTGACACGTTGAAGTTAATGTTTCTTTGATACCTTTCCAGCTATCCTCCATAGTAGTTTCTTCTTCCTTCAGTAGATCCTGTAAGGCTTGGAACCTGTTGTTGAGAGCTATCTTGAATTCATTGAGTTTGTCAGTATCTCGAAGGAAGGCTGTATTGAACCTTTGTGGTGCTGTTTGTCCAGTTGTCCAGTTCTTCTTTAGCTTCAGTTTCAATTTGGCCACAACTAGGTGATGATCTGAAGCTATGTCCGCTCCTCTCCTGGTTTTCACATCTTCCATTGTCCTTCGGAACTTTTTATTGATGCAAATATGATCTATCTGGTTCTCTGTGGTGTGGTCTGGTGAGATCCATGTAGCTTTGTGTATACGTTTGTGTGGAAATATTGTACCGCCTATGACCAATTTATTGAATGCACACAGATTTGCAAATCTTTCCCCGTTTTCGTTTCTCTCTCCCAGTCCATGCAGTCCCATGATGTCTTCATATCCGGTGTTGTCTATTCCGACTTTGGCGTTTAGATCTCCCATCAGAATGGTGAGGTCCTTTCTTGGGCACTTCTCTATGATTGATTGCAGCCTCTCATAGAATTGATCCTTAACGTCGTCGTTGCTATCATTGGTAGGTGCATAACATTGGATAATGTTCATTGTGATCCCCTCCTTCTTTGTTTTGAATGATGCTTTGATGATTGTGGATCCGTGAGATTCCCATCCTACAAGTGCATTTCGTGCTACTTTGGATAGCATTAGAGCAACTCCCTGAGTGTGTGGAGCATTTTCCTCTTCGTGACCGGAGTATAGCAGCATCTCTCCCGTATTTAGCCTTTGTTGTCCAGCTTGGGTCCAATGGGTTTCACTGATTCCCAGTACTACCAAGTTGTATCTCCTCATTTCCGTTGCTATTTGACTGGTCTTCCCGTTCTCTCACATTGTCCGGACGTTCCATGTACCTATAAAAATTGTTGCTCTGGTTGTTAGAAGGGGAGTCGGCCTCGTGGCTTCCGAAGGAACTCGGCTTTCACCATGAAGCGTCATATTACCTCTAACTCCCAGGGCAGAGTTTAAATGGTTTGAGTTATTTTTTCTGGTTAGCGTTTTTTTTAGCGAGTTAGGTTTCTTCGGGATGGGGACGCTAACCCCATGCCCAACCCTCCTCCTTTACCCGGGCTTGGGACCGGCAGTAACTCTGGAAGAGCTACAGGCGGAGTTCACCTATAAAAATGTATTAATTAAAACGGGTGACAACATAAACTTAGGATCCGGTACCATGTAATTTATAATTTCTTAGAAATGACTATGGCTCTATTGACTTCTATGATTTGTTAATATTATTGCGTTGATTAGACTACTGAGTTCTTTTTTTCATATCCTTGCTTACAACCCCACAAACTTCGTTTAAAAGTGTAAGAGATAACTTTAAAGACAATTCACATCACGAACTTACGTTGACTAGAGAAGGAATCACTAGACAGTTGTTTCGCTCTAGTTCCTGTATTTGACAGTGCTCATTCACGACCATATATGGAACCGACTTCAGAAGCTTCAGATGTTATTTCTTATACAATAGCTACAAATCATTGATTTTCAAGCTAATGCTTTACATTCTCAACTATATTCTTGTGACGACGGACCACGGGTAAACTCGAGGAAGCTATAAGAGGCTCAGAAGGAGCGGAGGATATTCCATCCAATCACCGTTAGGAAGAATATTCTAGAATCCCTACGTGTAGCTTCCCGATTGGACAAGGCTAATAACCCCCTGTATGCGGATTGGAGGACTATAATGATGATTTTTGTTCTTACTAAAACTATAAATACCCGACAATTTGTACCCATAATTGACACTGTTTGGAATAACATTCCTTTCACTAGTCTTCTGTCTTCTCTTTGCAACTTGGAAGGGTTTGGGCGTTCGTGTGTTCATTTGTACGCGTTATATCAAGTAAATCAACCATCTCTAGATATAACAATTCTGTTATGCATTTCTTCTCTTTCCCACTGAATACAATAAGTTTACCAATAACATTTTCTGTATATCCCGAAATAGTGTTATTACCCACATAGAATCCCAAACTGCTAGTCAGAACATCAGGAAGACTACAAAAGTACTTCACTCTTTTCTGCATCATTCAGACTTGATGAGTTTACTTGAATTTACGAACGGTAACAGTTATTGTGCTAAATAGAAGTTTACAATTCAGAAATATATCAAAATACCGTAAACTAATTACTCAATACATATATATTAGAAATATATGTTCTAATTCACTGGAGAATGGGTTTCAAGTTTCTCATTTTCATTTACGTATTCATAACACCCCCATTTTTGTGAAGCATTATCGTTCATGGAGGTTTATACATTTCCAACTTGGCTTAGATTGAATTCTTTGTATAGATGATCTTGATCTCCTTCCTGTCTCTTGTTTGCGTATATCTACAAAATATTTTATACGAAAAATAATGTGATTGATTATAGGTTTACGGAAAAATCATAGTTTATTTGCGATATTGTACGATCATCATTCGCATTATCCATTTTCGTTGACGATATTTATATCATTTTGGACGTGATCGATCTACAATGATGAAGCTTTATCGCTAGATCTCCGAGAGTTATCCACAAAACTGGTTTCCCTACCAAACATATAGACAGTATTATTAGTAAAGCGGGTTTTGAGAGATTAGTTCAATCGAAAGAAATAACTTTTCGCCAACTAATGAACAAGTCTCCATAAATTCCCTTATCTTGTTTAATACTATTATATTTCATTTAATTTAGATTTTTTTGAAAATTGTGCTCTTATCACTAAAAAAGCATAATGCATTGTACTTCAAACATTTTATTTCTTATATATATTTGTTTCCAATCAAGGTATTCGTTTGGGGCTTTGGATGTATTGGATTAGGTCCAAAGGTTACTTGTTCACCTCGTCCAACATTGATTCCACCTGGTTTATTCATACCAGCTATCGTAAATAGTGAATCTTGTATTAATTATGTTGTTGCTGGTCTACATCATTTTATTGTTCAAAGTAATGATGGTTTATTATGGGCCTGGGGTGCTCCACGTGGTGGTTTATATTGTCTAGGCTTAGGTAAACAAATTACAAGTAATTCTGTTAATCAAACCTACCCAGTTCCATTACTTCTTCCAATTAAATCTAAAGATGTAGTATGTGGTGTTGATCATACTGTTGTGATTGGCAAATCATTTGGTTAATATTTGCTCATTGCTCCTTGTTCATATATTATTTATTGTAAATATATATACATTTCCTCACGGAACTAGTACTTTAACAACAAAAATCCTCATATATATATATATATATATATATATATATATATATATACGATTGTACAGTTTGATAATAAATAATTGAAGAGGTCCCCATATATATACATTGTAATTCTACCCTTCTGTATTACATAACTATTATTCAAGAATTGTATGTTTGATAGTTCAGTCTGTATTGTATTATTCGCATTACAATTTTGTATAATAAAAATACATTGGGAAAATATGTTTTACTTATGTTCTTTTTTGTAGTTAGCTTGATTTGTTTTATTAGCTTAATTTATTCATCATTTATTGGTGCTTTTATTCTTCACATTGAATTTAAATCCAGTAGATTCAAGTAACAATACTTTTAATAATCAGTTATTTTTCACATTATTTTTTTAATACACAAAATGTATCTATTAAATAGATCTGTTAACTAAGAATTGGAATTATAATAATGTCTCTTGATTACCACACCAACAAATTTACGAAGTAGATGGACTACTAGGATTTGAGTTTTTGACCTTGTTGTTGAAAATCAAGTACTCGTGAAGCTATTGGTTCACGTTTCTGAGAGAATGACTACTAGCTTTACAAGAACGAGAAGAGTAGGAAATTGAGCAATATGACACTCAGTATGATCGGGTTTATTTTTATGGAATATTTAGTTTCCAGAAGTCAGACTTTATTATCATTATTATTATTTGAACACATAACTACTGGTACAAGGAGGCATTAGATACATATGCGCCACATAAATCTCAATTGATTTGTGTGAGGGCTGTGACTAAAAACTAAGATACTTTTACCTAGTTAAAGTATATTGTTTTTCATGTTGTTTATCCATTGCAACTGTTAATTAACAAATCAATATTTGGACCTTTTCATCTATACCACCCGTAAGTAAATTCCACCTATTTATCCAGTGATTTCTTATAATTCGGATTATTGTGATGTTGAACATCAAAATTATCCGACTATTTTGATGCTAAATATACCTCGACTATCAAAATTTACTCATATGTACTTTTAAATTTATAACAAACAGAAACGATTAATAAACATATTTTCGTTATTTAATATTTTAATTTATGAGTCGATTAAAGCTAGACCACCATGGAAAACCCGAAAGCGCTGGGCGGCCGTTTCATCCTAGTACGGGACTCCTCAGCGGTGCGCATCCACGATCCTGTTCGCTGGATTCGAACCCAGGAATTTCGGTCTCGCGCACGAACACCCAACCTCTAGACTACTGAGCTGGCATCCAACAGTGTTAATGTCTAACTTCAGTCAATCCACGAAATTGCACCACCGTCCACTATGTGAGGTATTGATGTTTGAATAAGCTTGTGTAAGCACACAGGACTTCCCACGCCATGTGGTCTATTGTTCTCCTGAAGCGGTCCTATCTTTTCATTGAGTTTCTTAAACAGTAGAAAGAACTGCATACTGACGTCTTTCTCTCTAAAAACATCACTTCTAAATAACGTATAAGGTCATACAACACTTATTTGTCTTCAAGAAACCTTTGGTAGTTGCAGCTTGTATAGAGGATACTGTAGCTTCTTATCAGTTAAATTTGGCCTCACATTTCATCTTCACTCAAGTAGTATTAAAATTCTAGCAAGTTGAAACTAAGAGATCAGTTGCATATATATTTTATTCAGGGAGGAAAGCATTCCTCTAGAATAGTCCTTTGGCAGATTCGTACTGATCAACTACGAATATGATAGTCTAAAACCGAAGGTTTCCAGAAAATTTATAAACTGGAAATTTTAACAGACTCACCTCAGTCGCTTTTTAGCAAATTTGTTCATTAAAATAAGTCACCTTATAACATATATAGGGCTAATGAATATTTGGTTTCCTGGTATTTGTTAGAGACAAAAACAGCTACAATTTGAGTGCTGGCTATTACCATTATCACCTTTGAAAATAATCTCATTTCTTTGTTTAGAGACATTTCGTCCACACTCAGCGTTTATAAGAGAAACTAAAGCGATATGATTTTCAAGTGCCCTTAAAATAGAAAATTAGTCTGGGCGTCCAATTGTTCTCATTTACCTCCACAGTCACCTTATTTTGTTACAATTATCCTCTGTTTAAAATGTTAAGGTAAGTACTATCGGTTCTCACAGTTGATCAACGACTCTTATTGCCTTATGGCATGGTGAACAAGTTATTTGCACAAGTGGGTCTTTACTTTTATATTGACATTGATTGAATTGGTTTGTTAAATAGAAGTTCACGGTCCTCCCCAACTCAGATTTCATCACAACCGCTGAATGCACTTTAAAATTGCCACCTATTTTTTGATCGTATAAACTGAAGCTTTCATTAACGATTATAAACATCCAGGCAATTGAGCTTGTTTTATATTTCCAGTGGCATCGTATATTTTTACTATCTTTGTGATTCATACCCGGCTATTCTCAGCACTTGTTTTAACTATCCGAGATCTGAAGTGTTTTAGGCTTGTGAACGATTTCAGAGAATTTTATTTGTTTGTTCCCTTCTACGCTGCTTGGTTTGGCTATGCAGTTAGTATTAATAGATCACAAATAAGCTAATATGAAACAGTTTGCATAAAACTTCTACTTGGTAAGTAAGTATGCGTAGTTAGATATTGTTTAAGAAATAAACCGTAGAATATACTAGAAGAGTATGAATTTTATTCATATTTCCTAGTATTCTATTACTGTGTTTGATGATGTCACTTCATGTTTATATTTGGAATTGTAATTTTAGTTTAATTTTTTTAACATTTCTAGATAAAGAGGTGATAAACAACTTTGTATGATAAAAGTTGTTTTTAAGACAATTATATCTATGTTTATATAATTTCCAACACTGCAATTATCGTCAAAATTTTATCATTCAACTGCAATATATTATTACGTCCCGTAATTCTTCGATTATGTCACAGCAATTCACTATCCAATTTTCCATTGGAGAAATATAATGCTTATGATATATTAGGTGTAAAACAATGTGCAACTTCTAGCGAAATTAAATCCGCTTATTATGATTTGTCGAAATGCTTACATCCAGACCGATTACTTCATACTAATCCGGAGAAATTGAGGAAAGAAGAATTTCAATTAGTCACGGCTGCCTATGAATTACTTCGCGATCAGGAAACTCGATCACAGTATGATCGATATTTAGCAAGTAATTGCTTGGTCCAAACAGATCAAATCGATGTAAGTCTTAGAGATTGAAATTTACTTCCATTTCTCACCACAGGGTGTTACGGTAGTTGTTGGGTTTTAATTTTCAAATCAAAATGAATTTTGCTAAGCAGTCACTAAAAGGTCGTTTCGTCCCGTCGTGGGACTCCTCAGCAGCACACCCACCGAGTGGTCGAACCTCAAGGTTTTGCAGTCTTACGATGAGCGCTTAACCTTCAAGTCACTCGGCTGGAATCCTGTGGTTTACATTTTTAACCTCAATCAATTCATGACATTACACAATTATCGTCCATTGCCATCGGTGGTATTTATCTCACTCTTGACATAGTTTCTGCTTTATCCAAATGAAATTCATCGTATTTATATTTCAATCAGCTCAATGACATTTGCCAATTAGGCTTTGATCAGTTTGTCTTATGTATAAACTTCGTTAGGTTTGCGTTCATTTTGTTGTTGAATACTTTAAATCAGTTTTTGATTGAGAATTAGTGAAGATCATATATATGTATATAATAATTTCAGAATTCATGCCAGTTTACAGACATGTTCAGCTTGATATAAATAGTAACATTAAATGCAGAGAACAAACATGTGATATAATATTGTCTTAAGTTTACTAGTTCAAAAATTGTTTAGGTAGATTATTCCAGGGTCTGGGAAATTTACTGGTGAAGTAGTTCATATAGAGAGATGATCTAGAATGAGTTTGTTTCACTAATGACAAAGAGTTACGGATGATAAAGTGTTCTAGCTGTTTGTGCGTAGGATGCAGTATTAATCTACGCATATGGTTTTAAAGTGTTTATATCGGTTGGTGTTAATGGGACATAGATTGGATTTAAGTATGCTCAATGCACGATTGCTTTGGCGCACGCTGATTGGCTGAATCTTATCCAGTCAGCGCTAGTCGATACATGGAGAAGACTCTAGAATCTTCTTATGTAAAAAGCTATATATATACTAACGGTATTCCTATTTTGCTTCTTGCTTCCATCTAACCTTGTTATTTGGAATATAATCTCCTTCCTGCTCAACCGTGTTCTGATTTGGGGCCTTGTCGAATGAATCTGTGTCCGTGAATACTAAGCAATAGGAATAGCTGGGTTATAACCGTAAGAGCGAAATTATAACAGTTGGTAATACAATCTAGTCAATCTGAACACTAAGAAATGTTTTGCTTCCTGTTTGAAACACATTTTCAAATCAAAATACCACCATTTCATGAAGTATTTGCTGTGTAAAGAAATATGACACTTAACGAGATATTTGATTCGTGTTATGTGATTGGGGTTAATAATCACGAAGTCCCTGGACATAAGTGTCGTGAGAGTTGGCTCTTGTCAGTAAGTGATACATAAAATTTTGAGGAGACTGATGCTCCCTGGTGAATTCGGACCCACTTTATCCAGTGTCATAATCTTGGACGTTATCGCTGAGCTATACTAACCTCCCATAGTACTAAGATGCACTGATCCATTAAGTAATAACCAATGTCGTCTTTGTCTAATCTAATCGATATGATCTAATCAATTAACTTTTGATTTGTTAAAATTAGTAGGTTAAACATTTATGTTACGTAAATTCAGATTTATCTTTCAGCAGCTCATACGGAGTTCGATAATGAATTTCTCAGTCCATCTGTTTTATAAAGATATATCTTCTTGTTTCTTTTAAATATATGTTTATTCTTTTTGTCGGTTTTATCAATTTTATTTATATTGGGAATCACAGTATAACCCACAACCGAATAATATTTTGACATTCCATAGTGTTACTGTACGAATATCTGTTTGAAAACGTTTACGTTTTCTGTAAATTATCTATAGATATATGAAATAATTTATTTATTGTCTAGTATTTTTACTAGTCAAGCTCATTTATAGAAAAAGCCTTGCACTAAATTCTTCAACTTTTTTTTATCTTCTCTGAAATGTAGAAATTGGCAAATTTTGATGCTAAATTTCAACATGCACGTCAGTTATATATGCGACACCGGAAATCCAAAACATATAAATCATATCGACGTGGACCGGATGAAGTTGTGGAAGAATTTAGAAGCAA